TGTTGTTGTTGTTGTTGTTGTTGTTGTTGTTGTTGTTGTTGTTGTATGGGTTTTTTTTGGGGGGTTGGGTTTTTTTGTTCTATAACCATTGTTGAGTTATTCCACGGATCACAACAAAATTCATTGAGTCAACATCCATTGTATCATTGTATCCAGTACTCGAGTGTTGTGGATTATCCACCGTGTTTTCCTTCATTATTTAAATCAGAAGGGATTTGGGGGTTTCTTTCTTTAAATATAAATGATTTATGTCCATATCGACGTAATTTAGATCATTTTAGAGTCGGGCTGCGATCCGGGCTAGTTGAGGAAGCTGCAACATCCCATCCAGCTGAAAGTCCGAGACACTCGACAAAAATTCTTCCCAAACTGGAATCGAACTCAGCTCTTCTGCTGACGACGACGAAGCGACTAACCACTACACCTCAGAGGCCAGTGGGGTTGGGGGTTTTTTGGAGTTAAACGGTTAGAGCATAACACCATCAAGTCTTGGCGGAAGATGTCGGGATGTGATGAGAAGGAGCTGATGTGTCTGCGATATGAGCAAGGGGAGTCGGGGACACAGACAAAGGGAGTGCCAAAAAAGCGTCATCGTGTGCCCTTTGTGGGGGAAGTCACACGTTGGAGGGAAATGGCATGGGAGAATCTTGAGAAGAAATCTTCATGGATAGTAAAGTGTAAAGTGTATAGGTTTTATGCCCCTATCAACACTATTAGGTTGTTTAAGAGGCGGAACCTCCGAATTTAATGTCTGTCTCCTATTGCACCGAGTCAAACGGGCTGAGGGTACTTAACTTAAGCTTGCTATGGTTGAGAGCCATGGAAACTCCACAAAACGACCCAAACTCAAGAACATCCAGTCGGAAATTCAAACCACGGCCACCCACTCGGTAGTTCAGTATGATATCAACTGAGCTAACAGAACACAATTCATGGACTTGACTGACTGCAGGTTACATGAAACTACCAAAGAAACGATCTGCTGTTTCTTTTTAACTTGTTGACCGTTAGAATTTGCCAAATATTTGAAACTGGTGTCTGTGGTGTAGCGGTAACACGCTTCACCGTCGCACTCAGAAAAAACAAGTTCGATTCCCCGTGCAGGGAACATTTTATTAAGTATCTCGATTTTTTCTGCGGAGACCCTGTGCCCCTCTCGGTCCTGGTTAGCCCAAAACGATTTATATTGTGTTGATGGGGGCGTAGAATCATTAAACAAAACAAACAAAAATCGCAATTAAGTCGGAATAATCAGAATGTGATTGTATGATTTGTGTACATAAAAGTCATCATCCTCCGCAGCAGCGGCGGGTACAGCAATGACAACAGCAACAATGATAACAACAACAACAACAACTACCACAGCCCTTTGATTTAATATTAGGGGGCTCTTCTTCAAAGACAACAAATAATGAATTTCAAATCAGACACCGTTTCTCTCTCTGTTTCCCTTTTTACGTTTCTCTCTCTCTCTCTCTCTCTCTCTCTCTCTCTCTCTCTCTCTCTCTCTCTCGCTCTCGCTCTCTTTTCCTTTGACCCTTTCGTATTGCGGGTTCAGAAGCTGGACAATCGTACAGGGTTGATCGGGATTGAACACACGGCGCATCATATCTTGCACAAAGAAGGGAAATAC